GTATTTGTATGCAAGTTCCATGTGAATGTGACCTACGTAAGTAATATATATATATATTGTATTGAGAACTAATAAAAAGAAATCAGAGCTCAAGCAGGAGATATGGTTATATATATTCATGTTAGTGTTATTACTTATTATCTTGGTTTAAATCCATATAATGTATATTATTGATTTAAAAAAAAAAACTTAAAAAATTACAGAAGTTTATATAAACGGAGTAGTTTGGCTGAAGAATGGTCTGACTATATATATTTCAAGATTGATCGTTGAATCTATAGCTTGTGAACAGTATGTCCTGATTTTGAGAATAATTTGGATTCGTTGTTCCTTATAACGACTTGGATAGTTAGATACATGCAAAATATGAAGTATATGGAGATTTTATTTCTAACTTTGTAGCTTCAAGACAATGACCGGTGTGAAGTGAACCCTCAGCATCGTGGTCCTAAGTTTGTTCCTTTCCGTGCAATCAAAACAAATCTTATCCAAATGTGACATCATTTCAACTTTGCATGCCCTTATTGGAATGCAAAAAGTAGAAATTTCAAGTGGAATCTGATTCTACATTGCTAGGCCCAGAGTCATTTAATTAAGGAAATATACCAAACAAAGATTTTCAAATCGGTTAGGCTGACTCAGGAGTATCAATACCTTGATCTTCTTTTCTTACATCCAATCATGCTAATTGATATTTTCTTATATCCGACTTGTTTATGTAAAGGTCCTAACACTAGTACAAACCAATAGATTACTAATCGTAATTACTTTGGCCACAAGATAAATATTAAATTTTCTACTTAAAATTTCTAATTAGGGCGAGAAAATAGATTATATATATAGAGAAAAATGTTGAGCAGGAATAGTAGCTTAAACAATAACAAGTTAGTTCACTGAAGACAAGTCTAACTACGATCTATATATTATATATTACACAGATTTAACAATTTTCCATTTACTCCAATAATCGCTGAATCTATCGCTTCTGAAGGGTCTATGATTTCAAAAGAATTGTGAATTTGTTGTTGCATAGAAACTAGCCTGTGCTCCTCATCAAATACGCTACCACGCATCCTAAAACGCCACCGGCTGCAACCTGTAAATTCCATCTTGAAACTTAGCGATAGATCACAAGATCAAACAGTAGTCGATACATGGAGAAAATGATGACACTTAAGTTCTAATGTTCTAGCTTTATATGAAAATCCAAATCTGATTCAAACATCGCTGTGACACATTCATTACGAGCAAATACCCAATTTTTAATCGGTAAGGCTGACTCAGACGTTCCACTACGTTCAAAAGCTTGATATTTTCTATCAATGTTCAACACTGGTAAATTAATTTTGGAAAGCATAACAGAAGTCTAAGCAGGCACAAATTGCAGAACATTTGATAGACATGGACTTGTAATATGTTAAATGATTGAAAGATTAAAAAAAAAGGGTTATAGCTGAGTTCAGCAAACCTGGATAGGAGTGTGGCCGAGCAGTTCACGCAAGGGTCTAGCTGTGGATAATGGATGCTCCGGAGGAAACTCACATACAATTTGATTCAGCAGCTGAAATTTTCATACATATGAAAAGGCTTGCGATTTCGACAAGGAAGAATTTGACTAGAGAGCTTTGACAGCAAAAACAGAGAAAAAGGATTAATAAGTTTTCTATGGCTTTACCTCAGCTTGACGACCAGCATGAAGCCTGACTCCAGAAGCATCATACATTACCTGCAACACATTTTAGAATCATACAGAAATGGTAAGAGAGTCGTCTGCCTTTGATATGGAATCAAAGAGACTGTTCACAAGGATAAGAAGTAAGATTGAGCATCTCTTTTCTACACTATACCAAACAAAGTTGTTACTCTTTATATTCAATACATGTGAAACTTAAGCGAAGTAAGAGGTTCGAAAGTTTCAAATCTAATAGCTTAGGAAGAATTTTATAATTCAAGGAATGGTGGCACAAGGACGCGTTCCAAGAGACGTATGAAGTGGAATCAAGATGATAAGAAGAAAACTCACAACGCATGCTAAAACAACTGCAATAGCAAAAGCAGGTGCTCCTGCTCCTTCTTCTAGGCCTATAGCAACCGCTAAGGCAGTGACGGTAGCGGAATGCGAGGAAGGCATTCCACCAGAACTAATCATCCGTTTAGAATCCCACCTCTTTTCTTTGTACCTGAACATCTAACATACATTCTGAAACAACTGAGAATTTTACTTCTGAAACTTACATATTTCCACAATCCATTATCAACATGTAAGATTCTCTTTAGCTCCACAAATGCAAACATTCAACCCTGAGCTAACTTATTGGCTTAATCACAAAGAGGACAACGAAAAGTTCTCAGATTCCTAACAATCCATCGGAAACGAAACCCTAACAGTAAGAAATCTGTCACATTTCACTACAATTTCTCAGTAATCGAAACCCTATCTGAAATTTGTTTCAACAGAGAAATCAAAAATCGCATCGTAATCTTAGCAGATCTAAGGAATCTGAAAACGAGGAAGGGGGAAGATTGAACGGACCAATTAGTGAAAACTTTGAGGAACTGAGCAAGAGCGAAGGCGAGAAAAGCGGAGAAGATTGGGAGATTGTGAGGAAACGGATTGTTCGACGGAGGAGATCCGTACAAAGCTCTGTTTCCGCCGATTAACGAGCCCGCGTCCGCCGCTGTCATCACCTCGTCCATTCGTGTGATTCCGATCTCTGCTTCGATTCAATGCTTTTTGGAGACAAGCACACGAATAGGAGACGAGAGAATATGATAAAAGCTTTGGCCCTTTGTGTTATTATTTCGTATTCAATTATCGTTAAAGGAACTA